CACACTGCTGCTATATTTCTTATTCATTCATAGGATGCGGGCATCGCTGGCTAGGCCAGAATTTATTGCCCATCCCTAATTGCCCAGAGAACAATTGAGTTAACCACATTACTGTGGATCTGGAGTCACATATAGGCAAGATCAGTTAAGGACGGCTGTTTCCTTCTCTAAAGAACATTAGTGAACCAGATGGTTTTTCTGACAATCAACAATGGATTCACAGTCATCATTACACTCTTAATTACAGGTTTTCTTTTAATTCAAAGTTCACCATCAGCCATGGCAGGATTTGAACTTGAGTCCCTAGAATATTCCTGGATCTCTGCATTAGCAGCCCTGTGATAATACACTAGGCCATTGCCTGAGCTATTAGTAATGATGACTGCTGGGATCATAACTCCATGCACTAAGTAAATTCTTAACTTGTGGCTTATAGACAGGCTGTGGGTAGTCAAGAGGTGAGTTAGTCATTGCAGGATTCTTAGCCTCTGACCAACTCTTGTAATCATTTTATTTATATATCTAGTCCAATTCAGTTTCTGCTCAGTGGTGAACCCCAGGATGAATGTGTGTGATGTTTGTGTAGAGCCACTCCCATTCTTTCTTAAACAAATACAGAAATTGCAGCTCCAAAGTAAAAAAAACAAAAGAACTGCGGATGCTGTAAATCAGGAGCAAAAACAGAAGTTGCTGGAAAAGCTCAGCAGGTCTGGCAGCATCTATGGAGAGAAATCAGAGTTAACATTTTGGGTTGAGTGACCCTTCCTCAGAATTGATGGTAGCTAGGAAAGAGTTGGTTTATATGCAGACGATAGGGTGGGGAGTGAGGGATGGATAAGGAGTAACAGATAGGTGGGGATAGAGCTCAAAGAGACAGAAGAACAATTGGACAGACAAACGAGTGGACAACAATCTGGCTAGGAGGGTAAATTGCTATTAATGGGGACTGTTAGTGGCTAACAATGGGTTACGTGCAATAGCAGACTATATGATAACCTAAAAAGGATTGGTGTGCGGGGGTAGAGTAAGGACATGGGAGAGTTCAAGCCCTAAAGTTGTTGAACTTGATATTGAGTCCAGAAGGCTGCAGGGTGCCCAAGCAGAAAATGATGTGCTGTTCTTCCAGTTGCACTGAACTTCGCCGGAGCACTGCAGCAAGCCTGACACAGAGATGTTGGCCAGGGAACAGGGTGGAATGTTGGAGTGGCAGGCAAGTGGAAGTTTAGGGTCATTTTTGTGGGCAGAACATAGGTGCTCTGCGAAGAGGTCACCCAGTTCACATTTTGTTTCCCCAGTGTAGAGGAGACCACATTGTGATCAGTGAATGCAGTAGACTAGATTGTGTGAAGTGCAGGTAAAGCACTGCTTCATCTAAAAGGTGTGTTTGGTCCCTTGCATACTGAGGAAGGAAGAAGTAAATGGACAGGTGGTTACACCTTCTGCAGTTGCAGGGGAAGGTGCCAGGGGGTTGTGGGGGTTGTTACGAGTGAAGGAAGAGTGGACCAGTGTGTCCTGGAGGTAACGGTCCCTGTGGAAGATTGCCAAGAGAGTAGAGGGAAATATGTGTCTGGTGGTGGAATCCCGCTGGAGGTGGCGGGAATGGTGGCTATTGATCCCATTCTCTCATCTCAGGCAGCAAAGTTTGCACCGATGGCACAACAGCTAGGTTGCAGTGCTTAATTCTGAAGTTGTACTTCTCCAAGATGACCTGCTAAACAAACTGACTCCCGACTGCCATCCAGTCCATTTGAATGCTCTGTGTTCTTCCACATAGTCAACTGACAAAGGCTTTACTATTTTGACCAGAGCTGGTGGATTTAAAAACAAAGGGCAGAATCTTAGAATGAGTGAAGTGGGCAATGGTGAAATGTGAGGCAGAATTAGACGAGAAGTTCCGCAAGGTCCATCTCAACGTTGACATCATCTTTTATGCTTTCCACAGATGAATTAGCAAGATTGTCACTAGGCTGCAGCAAAATGTCAATTTACGGGATTAATGTTTATTAAACGTCTTCTTAACATCAAAACTTGCCTCAGTAATATTTGGTTGCCCATCTTACCAAACTCACAAAACGAGCCAGCTGTCAGAAAAACTACACAAGAAAACCAGACTGTGCACCTGATGGTTTCAACTCGCAACTTGCTCTGAACTTTGTTCATGTTGGACACAGGGCAACGACACCTTAGAGCATTAACTATGGACAGCAGCTGTACACCATTCATCCACGGACATTGGCATCTGGCATCAGCTAACCCATCACAACCATCTCTCTGATACTTGGCAGACTTGCACTGCAGTGTGCTTTGGCAGCTAGAATTGAGAAGGCTACAGCAGGGGCACTTTGTGTGCAGGAATACGCACCCAGCCCACAGAATAAACAGGCTGCATCTGAGAGCTACTCACTTCTCTCTTAACACTTGCTCACTTTGCTCACAGCATCTATGCCTTTTCTTGCCATGTTGTGCCATGCCTGTTAGCATGCTGGCACTTCAACCAGAGCAGAAAGCTTTCATTAAAAAAAATCAAAGAACTATCGATGCTGGAAATCAGAAGCAAAAACAGAAGTTGCTGGAAAAACTCAGCAGGTCTGGCAGTATCTGTGGAAAGAAAACAGAATTAACGTTTTGGGCCCCTGGCCTTTCTTCAGATTATGGCTGGGAAAAGATTGGTACCTATGTTAAAGATGGTGTGGGGTATGGGGAAAGAATTAAACAATAGGTGGAGATGTAGCCCAGAGAGAGAACAACAGTTGGGCAGACAAAGGAATGGGAAAAGCTCAGTCTGGGAGAATCAATAACTGCAAATAGGGACTATTAGTGCTGACAATAAGTTGGTTGTGGTAGCAGCCCATGTGATGATAAGGCCTGGTGTGCAGGGCATAGGTATGGCTTTCACTATTGCCATTTTGAAGTGATCTTTTAGTGCAGACACAGTTTTTCAGTATGGAACTGCCCAGGGTAGGAGTGGGGGTGGGTAGGGGAATGGAGGAGTTATCTTGGTGAACAGCACATTGATACATCAATCTAATACTGACAGCATGTGTCAGTGGCCTACGCAGCAAACACACTGCAAATGGCCATATCAGAAATAGGGTGGAAACTAGTCTTCAGTCCAGTCAAGGGGTGCTGCTGTTAGTCAGGGATCCTGATTTATCAATCATAGCCACAGACCAGGGGCTTCCATGCAATTAGTCATCATCTTTGGATGCTCATGGTCAGGGGATCTGTCCCAATACAGTCTGGAGGGTGTTCAGCAGTATACGGCTAGCACAAGCAGTCAAAGGAAGTGTGTATTATCAGTTGGGAAGCAGCAAAGACAGCAGTTAGAGCTCTGGTCAGTCATGTCTAGGGACTGTCTATCAATGTTGTTGAGAGGTCTGGGTCAATTATAGTCCTGTGTATCTGTTCATGAATCTTTCAGCAGGGGAAGGGCATGTAGGGATTGTGAGGGGATCAATGACAGAAGGGGTAGGGGAGTCAAGACTTTGTGGGGAAAGCAGAGGCATTTGTAGAAGTGCATTAAGGATAGTGACAGGGGCACCTCGAACTGAATGGGGAGAATGTGGAAACAGCATTGGAAGCATGGTAGACTACACCAGGGGGGTTATTACTTTGACCACCACTGTGGGCTCCACAGGAGGAACATAAAGGAGCAGGATGGGTATCAATCAGGTTCAGTGCTAGGGTTCAGGGGATAGGGAGAACATAATAATAGAGAATGGCTGGGACAAGGCCCAGGTCAGTGAAAGTCAGTGTCAGTTTGATGGGCGAAAGGACAAGATTGATGTTTGCTGGATACCATAACATGTAGCATAAAAACATGAATCAGCCATTTGCAAAGTGCAGCTACTTTTAACATGCAATCATTTTGGTGCCCATTCGCTATGAATGCACAGTGAGGGTGCTTAGGGGTGGTCAAAGCCGATTTACTACATGTCATCAGTGCCAGCAATTTGAACCTGGGTATCTAAATAATGTGGAACTGATCAGCAATATTGTACAAAAGATCACTACTGGCTGAAGGTAACCACTATTTGAACATTCTCCAAGAATCCACTGTAACCATAGCTCTTGACACAATGCGCAACTCTCTGATTGATGCCAAGCTTAATGCTACCCAGGCTTCATCCATATAAGTTGGTGGAGCAGGTATAGGGCTCTCGAAGATGCAGTTCCACTGCTCGTACAGATCTAAATGTGCCCTGCAATGTAGTCCAGACTGTCTGTGCTACATCATCAAGCTGTGCTCTGCAAAATTGGAACAGGCAATGAGGTGATGTTCTGGATGCAGAGGAACGATGGAATGGCACCAGTCTTCCAAGGAGAAGGATGAGGACATCAGCATGGATGAAGCTGACAGGGTCCATGACACAGCTCAACTGCGACTGGTGCTACACCCAAAAGGTGGTGGGAATCTGGAACTTACTGCCTATGAGTGTGGTAGAGGCAGAAACCCTCACAACATTTAAGAAATATTTAGATGCGCACTTGAAATGCTAAGGCATACAAGGCTATAGGCTAAGTGCTGGAAAATGGGATTAGAATAGTTAGGTGGTGTTTTTGACCAGCATGGACACGATGGGCCAAAGGGCTTTTTTCTGTGCTGTAGACCTTTATGACTCTTTGGTATTTTGTGGATGAAGAGCATCTCAATTCTCACCATCCTCTTGGTCCTTCATGATCCTTTGACCCTACAGTGTAATAGCACTTAACAATGTCATTGGAACATTGCAAAGCGACATTTAGGAATGGAAGTTATTTCTTCCTGTAGAACCATAGATATGTTAGCAAATGGAGGAACATTTTAAGTATTGATTGGTGTGCGGAAAGTTCAAATTTTGCTTAGGTTGATTTATTTTTCTTTGCTTCACACCAATTGATCAGAACTTGCAAACTATTCACATTCTTAGCTGAATTTTATAAATACCACCCTAAACACAAAGAATTAAGTTTGTATTTTAAAATAAATGTGTGTTGTTGACTATATTATCCTTTTATAGAACAAATGGTATCGGAAGCGCTTTGTCGAGAGAAGAAGGAATTTTCAAGGACCCAGGAGAAACCTCGGACAACCTCTGGTCTTGGATTTGTTTTCCTTTTGCTACATTTGATTTTCCTTAAGCCTCAGCTGACGGAATGGCATGAAAAACGGAAAAATTTCAGATTCATATTTGTTAAATTCAGTGCATGGGAATTTGCAGGCAGTGATAAGTTGTGGGCTGGTCTCATAACAACATTGTGTGATAACATCAAAGACCAGTTTGGATGCATTCCAACTAGTATTGTTAGGTCCCTGGGTCACCAGTCCACCTTAGAAAAATGCAAATTTGGTTCTGAATGGGTGTCTAAAAAAATCCTCAGAATTCCAGTTTGGTTTATTTTCAGTTTCCTCCTATTACTGGCTCTGATACTCACACTAGCCATCTCAGTGTTTGGCATTTCCATTGCAGAGATGGGAAATAATTTTGCCTTAGCCCTTGAAGGTGTGGGTTTTGGATTAATTGGATGTTCTGCTCTCCTGACAATGAAAAACTCCCTTGCAGTGGGCAGAAATATGATAGTCAGCCAGAAGGCCAAAATGGAAAGCCTAATGAATAAAACAGACTTCAGCGCTCAACTGGGGTTCATGAATGATATAAAGCAAGAAGTTAAAGTTCTTACAAACTTCATCAAGTACATAGAAGTCTTTGAACGAAGAAAGATTCGGATAGTCCTGGAAATTATGAGTCTTGATAGGTGCTCTCCAGATAAAGTTGTTGGAGTCTTAGACGCTATGAACATCCTTCTTTCAGATTCAGATGCTCCTTTTATTTCAGTGCTGGCTGTTGACCCTAGCATCATTGTAGCCTGTGTGGAGAAATCTAATACTTTCAAAGGTATGGCAGACAATGGCTACGAGTTCCTGAACAGAATTGTGACACTACCATTTTGTGTCCCCCACATGGATGCTCAAACCAAACTCAACTTTATAAAGCAGGTAGTGGAAGGCAAGAATGCCCTAATGGAAGATACTCCAATGCAGCCTCAGAGATATGAAGCAGGCAAGTTTCAGGGAAACTCTATGGAAGTTGTGCCATTGATGAATGTTTCATGTGAAGAGAACCATCCTTCTAAACAAAGAAATGGCAAAATGAAACCAAGTCACTATATTCGACAGACCTATCAGTGCTTAATGGACAGAGAGAGCAACCTTCATGAGTACATTGAGGAGAACTTCCTACAAATGAGGAGGATAGTAAACATAATTCCAATTATGACTGCACTCATGTTTGAAAAAAATGTTTCAATGAGTTCATTTTCCCCTCAGAGAATTGCTGCATGGGTTACTTTAGCCACCTGCTGGCCATGTCGCCTCAGCTGGATCTGGCAATGCTTGGAAGATGCGGAACAAAGGAAAGAGTTAAATGAAGAAAAGAATATTAATGATGAGATGCTATTGTGGACCATTTATGAAAACTCCTCAGACAAACTGAGATTAATACAACCCAGTATTGATAAATTATTGACACTGGATGGAGATCCTGAAATCTTTCAGAAGTTTTTATCAATCAGCTATAAATTCACCGTTAAGGATGCAAAAATAATCCTGCCGTACACAATTAATCTAGATTCTTCTTTAAAGAGAAAGATGGAGTTACTTCTTGGAAGCAAATTGTTAGGGAGAAGAGCAACCTCGTCTTCTGAAAATGTTACAAGGCCTGAATGGAATTCAGAATAAGAGAGAAATGATAAAATGTTCAACACTTAAAATCTTACTTCTGTACAAGTTGATACCTTTAGTACACCAGCACTACTGTTGAATCAGGCTGACTCAAACATACAAGAATAATAAATGATTTGAGGCAGTCAAGAAAGTATTTTCCAATGAATTGAACATTCAGAGAATACCTGGGTAACTGCGCCATCAAACAGAACTTTTTTTTCATTGAAGAATTTCCAGTAGTTGAATTAAATTTCACTGTTTTTGTTGCTGGTTTAGTCACAATTCACACCTTCGACAGAAGTGATTTTTCAAACTGCTCAAACTAATGTGCTAATACATTAACATTAGTATGTTGTACTCTTCCCTCCGAGATTGCAGATTCAATTCCAACTCCAGAGATTTGAACATAAAAGAACTGTGCTGATACTTTCAATACAGTCTGAGGGAGCACTGTACTATTGAAAGTTCTGTCGGTCAGATCGGCATTATTCCTTTCAGATTGATATGAAAGATTCCATGGAATGTGAGATATTCCAAAGAAACCTTTACTGCAGTTATTTCTGTGCTACTGCCAGAGTTTATAATAGCAGTTAGAAAGTCATTTGTCCTTGGTAAAATGTCAGAATCTATTATAAAGGATATAATAGCAGAGCATTTAGAAAATCATAATCTAATCAAGCAGAGTCAGTACGGCTTCATGAAGGAGAAATCATGTCTGACAAACTTATTACAGTTCTTTGAGGTGGTAGTAATATAGAAGCATAGAAAATAGGAGCAGGAGTAGGCCATCCAACTCAGTACCGTGTTCCTGCTTTTTCCCCATACCCTTTGATTATATTAGTTTTAAGAACTAAATTTAACTGCTTTTAAACATTCAATGTCGTGGCCTCAAATGTTTTCTGTGACAGAGAATTCCACAGGCTCATGAAGAAATTTCTCCTGATCTCAGTCTTAAATCACCCACCCCAAATCCTGAGACTCTGACCCCAAGTTTTGGACTTCCTGGTCATTGGAAACAACCTTCTTGTGTTAACCCAGTGTAGTCCTATTAGAATTCTTTAGATTTTATTGAGATTCACCCTCCTAGACTTAGTATCATCAACTAAAGCAAATAACTTTTCTTTGTCTACTTTATCCTAACCTGTCATAATCTTGTACACTTCCATCAAATCTCCCCTCAATCTTCTTTGTTCCAAGGAAAACAACCACAGCTTTAGTGACATAATCTTGTAACTAAAATCCCTCTTCCATGGGACCATTCTAGTAAGTCTCTTCCGTATATTGTAATTTAAATGGAGAAAGCTGACAGAATGCTATGGTACAGGGAAATTGGTGTTTCCCTGTGAATGAATCACAAAATGTCAACCTCAAGATAGAGCAAGAAGTAATTAGGAAGATAAATGAAATGCTGGCCTTCATTGCAAATGCAATTTAAAGTATCAAACTCATCTGTGAGGCCACAGTTTTGGTCACCCTAATTAAAAGGGATATGCTTGCATTGAAACAGTTCAGAAGGTTCACCTTCATGAGGTTCATGAGGTGTGTGAGGACTGCCCATAACTGAGCAGCACAAAATGGTAGATAGATGTCCATGGCAAAAGCAGTTAAAAACATGGCTGACGCGGCAGTCTTAGGAAGCTTGGGAAAATATTTGCTTAATGTAGTCTGCATAAATAGAAACAACCATAGCCTGGTCAGCCCAAGATACAGAATTGAGATAGTATTTTTATAGCTTTTCATGCAGCTGCAGCTGTTTATGCAGGAGACATAGACAAGAACATTTCATATAAGAATTCTACACTTAATTAGTGAATCTTTAATTAGTCAATCTGTTACAATAGTAATAGATTTTAGATTCTTTGAATAATCATAGATATAGATTCTGAAGTAGTTATAGATTCATATACATACATAAATCACTAAAAGCATTAGACAGAGATTGAGATTTCATTAAGCAACCTTGTCTCAGACAGTGAAGAGCATCTCCCATATCATTGCAGGGAGAATTGAATCACAGATGGAGAAACTAACAGATTTTGGAATGTGGGTTGAATGAACACATTGTAAGAGACCCAAGGATAAAGATAGGGATGTCTTGTAAACACGATGAGATTATGAGAAAGTTTGAAGATGTCTCCAGGGCTGTCCATCATTGATCATACAGGTACATGATTTATTTGATTGAATGTATATGTAATTAATAAAATGATTGATCTGTAAATATAAAAGGTAGGATAAAAATAAATACATAAGAACGCATGCTTTTTCTTTGTTTGTTGAAGAAGCCGCTGATTCCCACTGGTGTAATTTTAATAAACTCTTTGATGCTGGACATGAACTCTAGGGTGTCGAGTGATTATTTGGTCATTCCACCTTAACAAGATGTTTGTCTTTTTTTTATTAGATTTGGACTTCACTGGCTGGGCCTACAATTATTGTCTATCCTTAACTGCCCTTGACAAATGTTGGTGAACTGCCTTATTAAACTGCTGCAGTCTATTTGGTACATGCACAATGTTATTAAGGTTTTCACCCAGCAATAGTGAAGGAACAGAGATATGTTTCAAAATTTGGGTGATGAGTGGCTTGCAGAGGAACTTGTGAGTAGTGGTGGTGCTGAGTGATGAAAGCTTGAGCATGAAAGTCTATGCTCAATGGAGTTTCAAAGAATAAGGTGATCTTAGTGTAGCACAAGATTCTGAAACAGCCTGTCAGGGATAATGCTGAGTGGATATTTCCCCTCATGGAATAGTGTGGAATCACAGGCATGGTTTAAAAATCAGGGGTATATCATTTAGGATGAAGATGAGGAGAAATTTCTTCTGTCAGACGTTCATTTGTGTTTGTCTTCATCAGTGAACAGTGGACATTGGCCAATTAGTTTTAAAACTGTGCAGCTCAGGATCCAGAATTCATCCATGCTCGTGCTGTGTTTGGCCTGTCAGTGGTATTGGCTACAAACACAATTAAGAAATGATCATTTATCATGGCTCCTGTCCTTGAGTCAATTTTCCTATCCAGTTGGACATGGACTGTCCTATTCCATCAATTGTCAATTTTGCTAACCAATGTTTCATGAAATTCTTTGTTGAACACATTTGTAAGTGCACATCTAAATAGTTATAGAGTCAAAGACTCACACAGCACGAAACGGACCCTTCGGTCCAACCAGTCCATGCTGAACATAATCCCAAACTAAACTAGTCCCACCTGCCTGCTCCTGGTCCATATCTCTCTAAACCTTTCCTATTCATGTACTTATACAATCATCTTTTAAACATTGTAATTGTACCCACTTCCATCACTTCCTCAGGAGGTTCATTCCACATACAAGCCACCCTCTGTGTGAAAAATTTGCCCCTCGTGGCCTTTTTAATTCTCTCTCCTTTAACCTTAAAATTGTGCCCCCTAGTCTTGAAATCCCCCATCCTAGGGCAAAATAAAACTATATTTAACTCTATGTATACCCCTCATTATTTTATAAATTTCTATAAGGTCACCCCTCAACCTCCTACACTCCAGTGAAAAAAGTCCCAGCCTATCCAGCCTTTCTTCATAACTTCTTCCGTACCTGGCAACATCCTGGTAAATCTCTTCTGAACCATCTCCAGCTTAATAATATCCTTCCTATAACTGGTGACCAGAACCGGACACAGTATTCGAGAAGAGGCCTCACCTTCTGCCCCTAATCTTAAATCTATGCCCCTGGTCATTGGTCCCTCCATCAAGGGGAAAAGTTTCTTCCTATGTAGTCTATCTATGCCCCTCATAATTTTATATATCTCAATCTTGTCTCCTCTCAATCTCCTCTGCTTGAAGGAAACCAATGTCAGTCTGTCCAATCCCTTAACTATATCTCTCTAGCCTAAGCAACATTCTGGTAAAATAAAACAAAGAACTGCAGATGCCAGAAATCTGAAATAGAAGCAGAAATTGCAGGAGAAACTCAGCAGGTCTGGCAACATCTGTGGAGAGAAAGCAGATCTAACCTTGAGTCCAGGACTGTAACTTCTGTTTCAAACATCCTGACAAATCTCCTCAGCACCCTCTCCAGTGCTATCACATTCATTCTATAATGTGGATTCCAGAACTGCACACAATAGTGTAGCTGTGGCCTAACCAACATCTTATATAGTTCCAGTGCAGGTTTCCTGCTCTTCAACTTTATGTTTCGACTAATGAAAGCAAGTATGCCACATGCCTTCTTAACCACTTTATTCACCTGTCCTAATACCTTAAAGGATCAATGTACCAGTGGTTCTGATCCTTGGTGCTTACCAGGGTCCTACATTTCATCATGTATTCCCTTCCCTTGCCTTGTTTGTCCTGTTCACATTTATCTGCATTGAATTCCTTTTGCTACTGATTAGCCCATTTGACCACCCCATCTATATCCTAAGGTCATGCAGCCATACAGAATAAGAACAAGAATAGGCCATTCAGTTCCTCGAATTTACTCTGCCATCCAATCGGATCATGGCGGATCCAACATTTCTTACGTCCACTTTTTTTTATTCATTCACAGGATGAGGGCATCACTGGCAAGGCAGAATTTATTGCCCATCCCTAATTGCCCAGAGGGCAGTTAAGAGTCAACCACATTGCTTTGGTCTGGAATCACATGTAAGTAAGGATGGCAGTTTCCTTCCCTTAAGGACATTAGTGAATGAGATGGCTTTTTCCCCGACAATTGGCAATGCATTCATGGTCATCGTTAGATTCTTTAATCCAGATATTTATTGAATTCAAATTCCACCATCTGCAGTGGTGGGATTCGAACCTGGGTCCCCAGAATATTATCTGGGTCTCTGGATTAACAGTCCAGTGATAATACCACTAGGCCATTGCCTTCCCTACATCATCTCCCTATATACTTCCTGTCCTTTCTCCTTGATCCTCTACTGATCAAGACCTATCCATCTCAGCCTTCTATTCAGAAGGTCTCTGCTCCACAGTTCTCTGTGGCAAGGAGTTCCAGAGACTCAGCCCTCTGATAGAAAAAAAAACTTCCTTGT